TGGTTATTCCCATCAACCGCCAAGGCAATTACTCCTCCCATCACAACCACAGCCAGCGGAGAAATAGCATTTACCCAAAACAATCTTGGTACTTTTTCTTTCTGCAATATTCTTTATGCTTAGGTATAAAAATACTAAACAACAAAAGAAATTAAACTAAAAAAGAGCCAAAGTTTGTCCCTACGTACCAGACGTCGAGCACAAAGTAAAATTACTATAAACCCCAAACCTAAAATCCCGCTCTGCCATTTCCACTGCACATAAACAGAATCCACAATTAAAAATAAGTAAAAGATAATTTGATCATTGCTGAATTGTTAACCAAATAAAATAAAATAAAACTATCCATAATTGTACTTTTTTTTTTTTGCAGTTGGAGACTACTTTAGGTTTTTCCTATTCGTATTTCATATGAAAATGATCCACTTTTTCATTAGTAATGTTCTTAAATCAGTATAAAAATTCTTAAATTTGTATAAATAACGAAAAGATAACTAGCTGGCATTTTGATTTTATAAAATAGAAAGATGAGAATTTAAATCTCCTAAACAAGTAATCGCTAGTTCGTATCCATTATCATCTGAATAGGTCGCTTAATCTGTCCAATTTCAAAGCGGAAAATTAACCATACAAAAAAGGATCCAACAAATGAAAATGAATTGTTTAATGGTCTTTCACTGAGACAATCAAGTTTTATGTTTTTGTGAGGCCAACCCGCAATCAAATTTGTTCCATGCATGTTTGGAATGGCAGGATTAGGAACTGATCGAAAACTCCAATTTTATAGAAATTATAAATTTACCATTACATGGAAGAAGAGGAGACGTAAAAAAGTTTTCTATAGAAAAAGAGAGAAACCTCCTGTCGATTTTGAAAGACGGCGTGCACAACGGACACCAGATCTGTTTTGGTGGTAAAATGCTGGAGGCCAAGCAAGCCCTTGATTTGCTGTAAAATAATAATCATCGCCGTTCCTCCCATGAACCCGGTAATGGTAGACCTGGACAAAAAATCCACCAGTATTCCGAGCCTGCAGTTCATTTTTTAAAATTACAATTATAATTTAACAAATATAAATACTTAAACTAAGGTGGTGTTTGGTAGGCTCTCTGTTAATAG